GCCCAATGCCAGCCCTTGACCCAGACCAATCCGGGAATGGGTGAGTCATTCGCATTTATGTTAGGATAATTTACAGGGCCCTGGACACTGCACACAGCTGAGAGGTAAACTCACTGCTGCCATGGCAGCTGGAATTCTGGTTCCCTGGTCCTAAATGTCCCGGGCACACAAAAAGCCCAGAAAAGCATCATGGGTTTCTTGTTTCCACAGTCATTCCAACACGCCCAGCATCCTCTCATGAATGCGTCCGTACAAACGTACTTCATTTCTTAAAGAGAACCTCTAAATCAGCAGTCTCCAAGAGTAAGGCTTGATTGTGAAAAAGGTAAAAATGTGATCAGAAGCACCCAGTTCTGCAGCACCATCCTGGGTTCTGCAGCACCATCCTGGGTTCTGCAGCACCATCCTGGGTTCTGCAGCACTGCGCTGGCCCAGGTTTCAGACACAAACTGCTCCCAGCTGCGCGTAGGACTCATTTCTCTCCTCCTTCAGAGGCAAAGAATTTAACAAGTGCTGCTGGCTCCTGGTATGGGAGAAGCTGTTCATTCTGCTACGATCCTCGCTATTATCCTTGGCATTGTCTGTGGTCCGTGACCTCACTGCAGAACAGGGCTGCACTGCTCCGGAGGTCAAGGAGGAGGACATACAAAAGGCCACTGTGGGAGCTGGGTAAACTCTGTGACCCAGTAGCAGGGCCCTCTCCTCCCCATTAGGGGCATCTACCCCTTCTGGAACTGAGGTCCTGGTGATTAGTGCCCAGAAACGATGGAACGACAGTGCCTCTGAGGAGCCCACTTCTCGGCAGTTACTATCAATCCACAGCATCCACGGGCAGGACCGTGTTCCCCTGCCCTGAATCTATGCCTCTTTACCCCTCCCCTTCCTTTCTCCCTGTTGTCTCGATAGAGCAAGTCCTAAAGCCAACTCTAAGCACAACTTCCCATTTCCCCTCTCCCAATATCAGTACAGTATCCACAAACACACAAAACCTCAGTACATAAATACATGAGAGAGTCTGGAACTGGATGGCAGGAACCAGTGAGCATCACACACAGAGGGCTGAGTGGGGCACCGAGCATGGCCAGGAGACCATCTGCTTTGGGGAGGGAGCTATAGGTGTAGCTAGATGCATCTGCCCTTCACAGATACCAGCCCCCTGCAAAGAGGAAGGAGCTCATGATTTTGGGGCCAGCACTATGTGATAAATAGTTGCTTTGTTTGTTGGATTGTTTGTTTTGCAGATTTGATTTGATGCTGTTTTGCCCTTGGCAGTGCAGGCTAGAACAATGGTAAGGAAAGAGCACTGGAAAAGATTTAATTAGGAAGATGAGCAGTGCCTGGGAAGATCACTTCTTAGTAACAGGAACCACTGCATTGGTCATAGGTTTCTGCTGAGGCAGGAAGAGTTCAAAGCCCAGGGACATTGAAAAGCTTGTGACAGCAAAGTGGAGGGAGAAGCCCAATGACAGAATCTTTACCATTCCTGGCACCCAGTCACCCCGGAAATGTCCTCAGTGATCTGGCCTCCTGGTATTCACCAGCGGGTTGTCTCCACCCACATGGGAATGATCTGGTTAGCTAAGAGGATACTGCAGAAATGTTGTACTTTGACTTCCAAAGCAAGACCATAAAAGTCATCAATCCTCTACCTATTCCTTTCTTGGGCCATTTGTTTGGAGAGAAGCCAGCTGCCATGACGAGAGGAAACCCAAGCAGTGCTGAGGAGAGAGCTACATGATGGAGATCCCAGACTTCCTCTGAACAGCCAGTGTCGCCTTACCAGCCATGTAGCGAGCCACCCAGGCACGTCTTCAGGTGACCATAGCTCCAATCAGCCCCTTGATGGCCACTTCATGAGACACCCCAAGCCAGAAACCCTCAGCTAAGTTGCTTTCCAATTCCTGACCTACAGAAACTCTGCTACAAAAGCAAATATTTATTGCTATTTTCAGTCCCTAGATTTTGGCATAGTGTATTGTGCAGCCATATATCACAAGTACACCTTCCAGATGCACCTGTCTGTTTGTTTCCATGGAAACCTGAATTTGACTCTGATGAGAGGCTTGCTTGGGTCTTAATATCAAATATCCGCTGCCTGGATATCACAGGCAGAAAGCTTCCTTCTGCTCTTCTTTCTTATACTATAAGCTACTGCTGTGGCTAAGGAAGTGGACGCTCACATGCAGAAGTTTTGTCACATGAGTGCATGCGAATCTACGTACACACAGCTTTCTTTTAAGATCACTCAAACAATGAGAATACAAAGATCACTGAAACAATGAGAATACAAACTTTTTTCTAGAAAGGATCTCGGTGATGTTTTATGCACTGTTTTTGTCACTGTCTCTGAATGGGTGAGCAGTAAGGGGAAGTCAAGGGAGGCCGAGTACTGAGAATTAAGGGATGCGTCTGCTCTTGCTTGCTGGTCATAAAATTCTGAGCCTGCTGGGCACCAGCAAAAGAGAAAAGGTACAGCCCCAAGTCTGCCTTCCAACATTTGTTTAAATATTTCAGGTTGGCGTTTTCTCCCTCTGCTCTCTTTTGAGCATCTCGTTTTCCACCCAGGGTGAGGATGGTCTTTGATAAGACAAAAACACAGATAATTGGTGAGCACAGAATCACGTCCAAATTATGCCAGAGGCAGCCACTACAGTGAAAGAGAAATCTGTCCTTGTCCTCTGGACGCTGCACTGTGAGGAACATGGAAGATGGGTGTAGACTGGGTACCCGCAGTCCCCTTCTCTCCATGATGGCGCCAGGAAGAATGCTGAGAGCTTGGGCGGCCTTGGAGCATTCTTTTAGGCCAGAGTGGGCCCAGAGGGTGGGGCAGAGGGTGGAAAGCATCTCAGAGAATAGAGGGCAGCCAGGGTGGGAAGTAATTTGCCCTTCCAGAGTGGACCCAGATGGAAACCACAGAAAACATGCATAGAGGGGGAGCAGCGTTTCTCCATCATCCTGAAGCCTGCTCCTTTTTACTTCTGCCATAGTCTGTCTGCCCTTCCAGTGGCTAAGGTTCATCAAGGCATAACTGAAGGGCTATTCTATGTAAGCTGTGAAGTATTCTCATCCCACAGGGAGTAGGGTCCCAGAGACATTCCAGATCCTAACATCAGCTCCAGGAGACAGCGTTCCCTGAATGCGCATCAGCAGTGTGGAGTTCCTGGGCTCCGTCTCACTCTCCCCATCCCAGGATGACTGCTGGAGGGCGTCCTGGTTCTGCTCACCCGAGTTCCTGCAGCTTCCCCCCGTGAGCTCATCCTTGCCTGTGACTTCACCCACTGCTCCCATGAAGCCCAAATCGGGGTCTTCAGCCCTGGCCTCTTGCCAGCATTGCAGCCCTGAGCAAAGGCAGCTACCGGCACTTTCCTCCTCCTGCAGGGGTCCGACCCGCACTCAGCAGGTTCAGTTTAGAATCAGCCCCACAAAGACTTGTTTGCAGCCCATGCTCCTCGTCCTGTCTAGCAGAGCAAATGGGAACTCTGGGCTCTGCTTTGCCTCTTCTTCACAGTCCTGAGTCCACTCTGCCTGGGAGTCTTCAGGTCTTTCCTTCATGGTTTTAGCCAACCACAGCTTGTGCTTGCCACCTCCATCTCTTTTCAGACTCTCACTTGTGACATATCGTGGATGCCCTCTTTTCCCCCTCTACAGCCCACCCATATTTCAAGGTTCAAAGCAAGTAGCCCCATTTCCTGAGGGTTTGTCAGAGCCTTGAAGTCTCTATTTTTCCTCCTTTCTTGAATTCCTATTCATTCTACTGGGCAAAATAGTTCCTGAGAGCTTGCCATGTGCTAGGGCTGAGACGGGACTATGACAACGAAGTCTAGCATTCAAGGAGATTACAGTCTAGGGACGGTCACAGTCAGTGATCGCTTCGTTATTTTCTCTGTCTTAATGGTGTTTCCCCGGTCAAATTCTTAAACATTCAAAACTTAAGTGCTTTTTGTAATGACCAATAGAGTACAGAGTTATAATAAGTTCTTACTTAATATTTATGGCTATATGTAAGATGACTATTTAAGTAAGAAAAAAGGTACAAGCCAGGCATGGGGAAGTACTCCTGTAATCCCAGTACTCAGCAGGCTAAGACAGGAGGATCGTTGCAAGTTTGAGACCAGCCTGGGTTACCAAATGAGCTCAAGGCCAACTTGAACTTCATAGCAAGACCCTGTCTCAAAAAGATGACAAAAAAAAAAGAAAGAAAGAAAGAAAAGAAAAAAGAAAACCCAAAAGGTACTCCAATTCCTATCTAGGTTAGAGAAATATCATTAGTACAGAAAAAGATGTGTCAAAAAATTAAAGAAACCTTGCTGTGTTTGAATGGTCTTTTACATATCTAATCAGTAACTCAATTTAACTTGGAAAATGTTGATAACAATAACAACCCATTCCCCAATCCCATAATCATGAAATAAGCCCCATTTTAAAATTAGACAACAAATATGAAAATGATCTCATAGCATTTTAATAATTAGAATTGCAGATACGAGGAATCTCCTCAGAGAATTTTCACAAGATAGGAAGAGAAGCACATTGAGAAACATCGAATACGAATTTTTTGATAATACCATTTTGTCAGTTTAAGGGCAACAAAACCCCAACCCAGGGGGCTACCAGGCATCACCTCAGCAAGGACCTCCTGGTGACAGGGTCAAGGACAAAGCAGACTGAGATAGCATCACTGTACCTTTTCACGCATCCCCCAGGAAAGATGATTTTTGTGAATCAAAAAGGGAAGAATCTCCTTCCTCCCAACTCCAGAATTTTTGCTATCAAGTAAAAAATGGAAAGCCATTTCACTCCTCCAGACCTTAAGAGAGTGTAGTACAGATGCTTTGTTCAGAGGACCTAGTTTGGACTTTAACTTAGACAAGGAATTACCGTAAGAGTGAGGGTAAGCCATTCTAGTCCAGAAGAGAACGTCATGGGCTGAACAGAAGCCCAAGAACTCAGTCAGTTAACTCCACAGTGCCACGATTCATCTTTAAAAAAGTCTCACTTACCTGCCAGAATATGCTATCTATTGTGTTTCCGAGAAAACCATCACGCCCTTCTGAAGACACCAGTTTGGGCCCAAGAATTGTCATGAATTCATCAAAATCCACCTGGCCGTCCCCTGGAAGGAGAAGACATCAGCATGAGTGGAAGAGCAGTGGAACCTGACTTGCGGAGCCCAGTGCAGCATCTCTGTGCTCTTCTGTGCGCACGACCTCAGTTCATGAAGGAGACCCGGCAGCATTACTGAAAATTGTTCAACATTCTTAAAACGCCAAAGAACCACACACAATAAAAGGAAACTGCTAGTACATCTAATATCTCAAATTCCTGTCTGTCAGTACAGTCACACAGCCCGTCACAGCATTTTGATCAATGACACACTGTCTATGCTGCCATGGACACATGTGAGTATAATGGAGATGTAAAAACCTCCATAATCCAGTGACAGCATAGCCACTGGACTGTCAGTATACTCTCACTGATGTTGTTTGTGGTCAGGCTGGCATAAACAAACTCCCACTGTATAAAAGCATACAGCATGTATGATTATGTATGGTCCACAACACTTAATTATGCTAATAAATGGCTGCTTCTAATGTACTTACCTTACTATACTTTTGTCATTATTTTAGAATACACACCTTCTAGTGATCAAGAAAAGTTTGCTGTGCAACAGTGTTCTGTATTATTCCAAAAGTAGTTTTACTGTATCCTGCTGATCACACTCCTTGATGGCCTAATTTTCTCTTATGCTTGATTTAACCTCGTGTTTGTTCATTGTGGCTCTAGGAGTAATACATTACACCGCACATAAAACGGGCGATCAAAACTAAGATGAACATTTAACTTTTTAAAATTTCACTTCAGTGAGGAGACACGTTGCCATTAATCACCCTCAAAATCTTGCTGCTTGATTTGAACATACATCATTCTTGCCACTTTCGGAAGCAGCTCCGAAAGTCCTTTTTCCTAGGTGTTTGATGAGGCACGATCAAAAATACACTGATGCTGCTGCTAGCGCTGCCCAGCAGAAAGGCAAGCTTGCAGAAACATGCAGTGTCCTCCTTCACCCTGTTCACCAGAGCTGGCTCTGTGTGACTTCTGGCTCGTCTCAAATCAAAACATCTTCAGTCAATTCAGGACATGAGACGGCCAGGACAGTACAACAAAAGACACTCCAGAAAGAGGGCTTTAAAACTGCACCTGAAAGTGGCAAGCACAATGGGATAAGTGTGTTTGAAGTGAGGGGGACTATTTTCAGGGAGGTAGGGGCGCTGTGTCTTACACGGTCATAAATTTTAAAACCTAAACTCACATATTTCTCAATCACACCTCATATATATGCATGTATGTGTATGTGTGTGTACACACACACGTGTGTGAAGCCCAGGTAGCCCAGGCGTGCAGTAGGCCACACCAGCTAGGTGTGTGTAGGTTCACAGTAATGTTAACGCAACAACAGAATTGCTTGGCGGTGGGTTTCCCCGAGCACAGCCCCTGCTAAGCCATGCATGACTGCCTCACTCCTGTAGCTCAGTGTCCCATCAGCACCTCCCACTACACATGACCACACGTCACACCTGCTCCTCCCCTGACCTCACAATGCTCAATTGTACATGATGGAAGTGACTACTTGTCCCAAAGCTGATCTGATCATGCCTCATAAATTTCAGTGGCATCTTAGACCAAAAATAGAGAAACCACCTCCACAGAGCATTTAAGCCTCCGTATCTCTTTGTGTACTTTTGTTCCCCACCTTTGCATAAAATGCCATGCTTTTTGAAGCCCTATGCCCACGTTCTCACTGTTCCCTCCTCCGGGATGCCTTCCTCCATGAATGTACCTGGTAAACACTGTCTTGTCTTTAGGATGGAGCTGAAACATCGTGTTCTCTTTTATTCCTGACTCTTCCTCATCTCATTAGGCAGAGTTGTGTGTGTGCGTGTGTTCTCCTGCTATCTTAATGTGCATCTATTGCAGAATTCATTGTCTTGTATCCCAGGGACTGATTTGCACACCTGACTTCCACTTGGACTGTGAATTCTGTAAGGTCAGGGAGCACCTGTAAAATATCTATGGATATTCAACACCATCAGAGGCACTCGGGATGTATTTATCCAATGAGGGAATGAATGATGTCTCTTCCTTGTTGCTTTTGTTGAATTTATCATCTGTGGAATTTTTCATGCTAGGGCTGATACTAATCACAAAGTGGACTTAGTCAACTCTGCAGACAAAATTGAGCCTTCAGGGCAATGCTTAAATTTAATGAGCCATCAGTGTGACATTCTGTACCCTCAGAACTGCTCAAAAAGACAGCTCTACCAGAAGTTTGGCCACAGCCTTGTCTTAGCCCCAGCCAGCAAAGACAGTGCAGGTGTCTGTACAGGCAAGAATTTACCAGACTGCAGATACATAAATCAGTCTCTACGTGCACATTTGCCTTCAGAGAGCATTCATTCAAAACCTATTTCCAAAAGCCAAGCAAATGCCATCATTAAGATGTCAGCAATTCAGAATAGATAGTCCAGAAAGTGATCCCAGTGCAGATAACACTTCAGAGCACACTAGGGAGGCGTGGCAAGTCAGTAGGAAGGGGAAACTTTAGCCAGCAAATGGGATGGAACTGACAATGAGCTACTCATGGAGTGTGGATTTTATTCTCATCACTAAACAAGATAAAGGGATCTGAAATTCCAGCCTGCCTGATGAGCATTAGAACATGAATTCAAGCGATTACAAGGTATTGCCTTGCCATTCTCATCACCAAATACAATATGTCTCAATGCTGGCTGCAATACAGAGCATAGATGCCGGTGCATTCCTAATACACTCGCCCTGGATACCAACAGGCAGCACTTACGGGGTGGTGATGCTGGTTCCTTTGACCCTGATAACTGCAATTTTAATGAAAAATAAAATACTGGAATCACCCTGAATGCAGAAAAAGATGTTTGCCCATAGAGAGTCACCCAGTATTTGTAAAAGTGAAAATCTGAAACTCAGTACACTATACAATGGCCCATTCCCTGAGGCATTTGACACCTCTGCAGCAACAACCATGGGTCTCAGATGGAAACACCTGTACATGCACACGAACCCTCTGCGCAACCCAGACCACCTCTATTCACAGCTGGGGCTGGATGGGCAAAGCTGTCCCAGATTGAATATAAAATCTCATTAAACGGCATCACATCCAGTGGGGTGAAAATGGATTTTTAGTGGACAAATACTCTCAGATAGTACGATGTTCTGTATGTAGAGTCCCAGTACACAACAGATACAAGTTGTCTAGTCACTTTCCCGCCTGCAAGGGCACCATTTGCCGCCTCTTAAAGGGGAGATGTTATTTTGGTTCACAGTTTCAGTCTGTGGTCAGCTGCTCCAAGAGAGGAACAGTGTGGCAGAGACACACAGCAGAGAAGGTGCTGCACCCGTGGCAGCCAGAAAGCAGGCAGGCAGGGAGAAGCTGGAGGCTAGAACGTGCCCTTCTGGCTCCTATCCCAAGTCTTCCTACCAGAACCCACTTCTATCCACAGATTCAGCTACTGAACTCATCAATGATTGGTCCTCTGATGCATGTAGCACCCCATGATCCAGTTCCCTTCCAAACCCAGGAGGCTTTGGGGGCACATTTTAGATCTAAACCATAACAGTATATCGGTACTATTAAAATTTCATGTGGGTAGGGCAGCTGGGAAACATACGTCTTAAAAGGTTCCTGTGAGTTGGGAAAGAGGAGAAGGAGGGAGAATAAAGGCTGAGAATCTCTGGAGCAGTGAACATCCCAAGTACAGACCATGGCGCTACACGGTGTGGGGTGTCACCCTGACTGTCACCCACAGCGGAATCTCGCAGCCCACCAGATGTTAGAAGCTAAGGGATATGGACCTGTAATTACGAAGCCCTGGTGAGATCTTAGCTAAAATGGGTCCATTAGGCAGCTGCCTCAGGCTCCTACCCATGTGTTAGTGGGCACGGTTCTGTCCAGTTCGGATGGGGAGATCCAAAGGAGCTGACAAAAGCCACACTTCTCAGCACCAGGAAAAGTAGCTTGTCTTTGAGCAGGCTTCCTTGGGGGGGGGGGGCCTCTTAACACCTTCCTCCAGGAGACGGGAGCCTAGCAGTCACGTACACGGGGTGTGTCTCAAGGGTTGGTGTGGAACTTGGCTAAATCAGCCCAGCACCAGGCAGAGCTCATAGATGGTGTATTAGGCTGAGTGCACACCAAACCGAAAGGCAACAAACAGAGATTGTGCTTGGGAATGGTATCCTGGCCCAGGTGAGGGGAGCAGCTAGCTCACTGACTAAAATCTCTGGCTGGACAGGAAACTCTGGGATCCTATGGCAGTGCCAACTGTGGGATACTGGGGCCCAAGTGACTTGGCAGGAGATGTCCAGATCAGGTGACGATTTACTTCTAGTTACTCAGGGGAGGGATTTTAGAATCCCAAGCTTTTTATTGATCAAAATATTACTCCTCCCACCCCATGATACTGCAACTTACAATAAGAAATATAGGATTGGCCAGTATCCCTACTTCCTGTGAGATAGCTTGTAAAGGATATGCAATTTCCAAATGATATAGGATCTAGGAACATCTTTTATTCTACGATTTGCTCTCTGATCCTGGTTCCTTTTTTAATTGATGATATATATAAAATTAATTCCTCTTGGGGAATTGCTGTTTACATACATACATCTTGGTCATTATACTTTTCCTTCTTCCCCTTGGTGTCTCCTCTCCCCTGGACCCCAGTTTTGGACCCAGAGCTCCTGAATCTCTGGGGAGTTCTTGGGTGACAGGAGTGTCTTTGGTTCTAAAGAGGCAACTCTTCGTGGGAACCTAGGTGGGGACTGGTCGCTAGAAAGAGCAAATCAGATGAGAAGTTTGGAACCTTCAGCTCCACATTCCATCCTCCAGGAAAAGAAGAGAAACTAGGGACTGAGTTAACGATTACCCATGCTTATGCAAAGAATCCTCCATAAAATCCCTAACCTGTGGGGTTTGGAGAGCTTTGAGTTGCTGAACACTCGGAGGTGGCAGGAGGGTGCACACCCCATCACCTGTCCAAGGTTCTCAGGCAATCGAGCTGGTCCTGAGCTTTATCTTTGTAT